CTCCCCAAAAGCTGGTTGAGTCCGCCAGCTGGTCGTCCCGCCGAGCGAGAGAGAGAGAGAGAGAGCGAGCAGCGGGCTACGCCAGCTTCCCGCGCCTCGCTGCCACCGCGGAGGGACGGCGGCGGCGGCGGCGGAGCGGCCCCTGGACACGAGGACGAGCCTGCCCTTCGCTCACCCGGAAAAGGAGATCCGAAAAGAGATAAAAGACTAATTAACAAACCTTACTGAAAGGAGAATAATGACGTACATATAAACAAAATAAATGCCTATATGTTTATGTGGGCTGAATAACCAAAAATTTATCTGCAGGTTTAAATACCAAGCTTCTTCATAACACGAGCAAGTCTCACCCCGCCTTTCGGAGGCCATGAGACGGGATCGCCTGGAAGATGACATTACAATCACACGCTGGGAACGGACGAGAGAGGGAGAGGAGGAGGGAAGGGAGGAGAGGGAAGAAGGAGAGGAGGGAGGGAGAGAGGGAGAGGGAGGGAGGAGGGAGGGAGAGGGAGGGAGGGAGGGAGGGAGAGGGAAGGGGAGAGAGAGAAGGGAGAGAGAGAGAGAGAGAGAGAGAGAGAGAGAGAGAGAGAGAGAGAGAGAGAGGCAGAGAGAGAGAGACGCAGAGAGAGAGAGACAGAACAGACCAGCCAGACAGAACAGACAGACAGACAGAGAACAGGACAGACAGACAGACACAGACAGACAGGATCCAGCCCGCCCGAGCGAGAGCGAGCCCCTCTCGCGCCGTGCCCTCAGCCGCGCGACGGGCAGGCGGGCAGCGGCAGCGCGTCGGCGGCGGATTCCGGCAGCGCGGTCACGTAGCAGCCGAGTCATGCGCCATATGTTAAACGAGATACTTAATCCCGCGCTCGTTCGGGCGGCGAGGGGCTCCCCGGGATCCGAACGAGCTGATCGGCCGGCGAAGACGAGGCCCCGGGATCCGAACGAGCGATCGGCCGGTGAAGACGATTCGATACGATATTATATATATATATATATATATATATATATATATATATATATATATATATATATATATATATATATATATATATGAAGACGAGCGCTCGTGGCTGCGCAGGTGGGGGTTGGCCCCGGGGTGCGTGTGGGGGGGGGGGAGGTGTGTGTGTGTGGTGTGTGTGTGTGCGTGTGTGTGTGTGTGTGTGTGTGTGTGTGTGTGTGTGTGTGTGTGTGTGTGTGTGTGTGTGTGTGTGTGTGTGTGTGTGTGTGTGTGTGTGTGTGTGCGCGTGTGTGCGTGTGCGCGTGTGTGCGTGTACGTGTGCTCTGACGTTTTGTTTATCGTTATATGTGTGCTCACGTATGTACGTATGTGCGTATGTATATATGCATGCATGTGCGTACATACGAGTCCCAGCACCGCGTTCGCCCCGACCGGCGGGCGCTGACCTGACCTGACCTGGCTCCGCGCTGCCCCGCCCTTCCTCCGTTGCAGTGCCCACGCCCTCGAGCCCGGGTGTCATCTCCGCCCGCTGCACGCACGCACCAACACACACTCACACATGCTACATACCTCGCGCTTCTACGAACATACACACGCACGCACACACACGCACGCACACACAAGCGCTCTTTCAGTACACAAAAAGTGAGCTTTCTTCCACACTCCCCCCTCCCCTCCCTCCTCCCCTCCCCTGCGCCCCCTTCCCTCTCCTTCCCCCTCTCTAACGTCTCCCGTTCCCCGTTCCCTCCCTCTTCTATCTCCCCTCTACTTCCTTCCCTCTTTCCCTCCTCCTTCCTTCCCTCTCCCTCCCTTCCTCTCCGTCCCCTCTCCCCCTCCTTCCCCTCCTCTCCCCCCTCTCCTCTCCTCCCTCTCGCCCTCTCCCTTATTACCTAACCATTAATCAACCCCATTAAGCAAAACACACTCCCCTCCCTCCCCCACCCTCTCCCCTCCCTCCCCTTCTCCCCGCTAAAACACAGGTTAGCCTTTACATAATCACTGTTTGTTTACACAGCCCTTTCCCACGTTTCAAGAGGGAGGGGGGGAGGGGAGGGGGAGAAGAGGTGGGGTGTGGAGGGAAGGGAAAGATAGGTTGGGATAGGTGGAGGGAAAAGTGAGAGGAGTGGAGGAAGGGAGAGAGGGGATGGAAGGGAGAGAGGGAGTGGAAGGGAGAGAGGGGAGTGGAGGGAAGGGAAAGAAAGATAGGTGGGATAGTGGAGGGAAGTGAGAAGAAGTGGAGTGGAAGGGAGAGACGGGGAGAGTAGAGATGCGCGAAAGAGAGGGGGAGTGGAGGGATTGAATGGAGAGAGGGGAGTGCGGGAGGAAGGGAGAGAACGAAAGAGAGGTGGGGATAGGTTGGAGGAGAAGTGAGAGGAGTGGAGGAAGTGAGGAGAAAAGGGGATGGAAGTAACGGGAAATGAGAGGGTGGAGTGGAGGGACAGGGAGAGAAGGGGCGTGGAGGGAAGGTAGAGAAAAAGAAGAGGTGGGATAGGTGGCGAAGTGGAGAGGAGTGGGGAAAGGGGAGAAGGGGATTGAGGCGAGGAAGAGGGGAGTGGAGGGAACGCGGAGAGAACAGATAGGTGGGATAGGTGGAGGGAATGAGAGGAGGCGAAAGGGGGGATTAAAGGAAGTGAGTGGAGAAGAGGAGTGGAGATGCGGAGTGAAAGAGAAGAGGAGGCCGAGGAGAGGTGGGGGGAGAAGGAGGAGGTGAACCGGGAGGGGGTGGAGGGAAGGGAGAGGAGTGGAGGGGGGCATGGGGGGAATGAGTGGAAGCCTGAAAGTAGTACATTAATTAGCCAGCAAGCAACTGTATTTCCTTTGTTTTGATTTAGTAGAGTCTTATATATATATACATAATACATAATATATATAATATATATATATATATATATATANCGTCCATTTATAACATTATAATATACGTTGGGAGAAAATAGGGCCAAGCAACAATAAAATCACCATCTGCATATAAATCTTCATCAAATATACACTTGGATGAAACTGAAAAGGCGCTGGTCGTTTTGTGCGGAATGCTGTTACACTTCTAATGGTATATTCTGAATTGATACAAACAAAAACAAAAAAATAATGAGATGGCCAATACACAAAATTCAAAAGAATGGAAAGAACACAAAATTGAAAATTGTCAATATTGCGCGTTAATTTTCTATCACTTTTCATTAGTGGAAAGCCAATACAAAAAAAAAAAAATACTTTCGTGCTATGACGTTTTGGTTTCCATGTACCAGAAAAATGTATATTTCACACCAAATATAATAGCCATAAAATCACTATTAGATTTTTTTCTTCTTTTTTTTCTGTCTCTATAACATTGCTCTTTTCTAAGTCTAATATTTTGCGAGACCCAACCAGAATAGTGGAAAAAAATTATTATTCATGTATCTGCTGTATATCAGAAACTAACAAAAAACAAGCAAAACGTGTTAGAGTTTCTAATCTAAAATACCTATTTTGATTACCCCCATAAAATAATATCTCTCTTTTAATCAGCACAGAAACATTTACAAAAAACAATAGTAATGATACATAAATAATTTAGTAGCATTCCAATGTGTAGAGAAAGTTACCTAGCCAGCAAGCGAAATTCATCTTTATATATTTGAGGTCCCATCCCACTCGCCCTCGTTTGGTTCCCACCTGAAACTTACTCTTAATACTCTTATTGCGCAGCATAAATACACACGCCAAATACATAATATAAAATGAAAATAAATGAACACACGCAAAAATACATATAAAATTAAAATAAATGTAACACACGCAAATACATAATATAAAAATGAAAATAAATGTAACACGCAAATACATAATATAAAAATGAAAATAAATGTAACACATGCAAACACATAATATAAAAATGAAAATAAATGTAACACACGCAAATACATAATATAAAAATGAAAATAAATGTAACACGCAAATACATAATATAAAAATGAAAATAAATGTAACACACGCAAATACATAATATAAAAATGAAAATAAATGTAACACACGCAAATACATATAAAAATGAAAATAAATGTAACACACGCAAATACATAATATAAAAATGAAAATAAATGTAACACACGCAAATACATAATATAAAAATGAAAATAAATGTAACACACGCAAATACATAATATAAAAATGAAATAAATATAAACACAGGCAAATACATAATATAAAAATGAAAATAAATGTAACACACGCAAATACATAATATAAAAATGAAAATATGTAACACACGCAATACATAATATAAAAATGAAATAATATAACACACGCAAATACATAATAAAAAATAAAATAAATGTAACACGCAATCATTTTACGGACATTTCATCGAAGCAATTATCGCAGCCTAAGAGCCACGATGGCCTAACAAGCAATTAACAAGCGGTCATTAACGGTACTTGTTTACGGCTTCTCATATTCCATTGAGTAATTCTATAGCGTCTTTTCCGAGGTGTTACAGGGTGTTCTGCTACAGGGAACGTGGGGTCATCTTGGGCGGAGCTTAAACATTCTAAGGTAGAGTCATACTGCTCATATACGAATTTTTTTAATATAATAAATCGTTATTATCTTTACTTCCCAATAGAAGAAATATTTCTTTGAGAAGGGTCCTACATATGCCAAAAAAAAGAAATAATAATCGAATATCATTTTAATGAAATAATCTATAAAGATGAATAAGCTTGCGAATCATTATAAATATTTTTTTCCCTTTCAAAACTGATATATAAATAACATTTACAAACATTATATTTAGCATTCAAGGAGGCAGACGTAGTACAATTCCACCAGACTTATCCCTAACGCATTCTTTAAATATACTTTTTTTCAAACAGTTCTGATTAAAAGTAGATTAACAATAACTACCTAACAATTTTGTCATTATAACGTCATATGTGTGATACGTCGAATAATCCTTTTTCATTGGTCTTGCGCTTCTGCAATTTTATGGGAAACATATATAAGAAATTGTGTTCCTTCCTTTTTTCTTTTTTCTTTTTTTTGCGCCTGATAAAGTCAAGAATTTCGCCAACATTCATGTAGTAAATTACCTCACTTAAGATATTATTGACTATGTGCAAAGGAAGGCCATGATAATGCGTAAATAGTAAAATATACGACAAAGCGATGCAAAGATTACTCGGAAACTGTTTGAATGGAAATTACAAGTTCATATATAACGTATTCAGCCGCCGTTCGAACGAAAGAAGTCGAAATAAGAGTTTCCGAAGAAAATGCGTATCACAACTGTTTGTTTAACGCGTGACCGTCGCTGTATAAGTGCTTTTCAGTTATTTGACACCACTGTATATTCTCTACAGTTCCTACCACTTATTTCTTTTCAAATAAGCTTCAGGTTCTGCAAATCTTTTAAACTCTCTATCACCCATTGCCTTTCACTCTGAATTTCCTTCACCTTTTGGAAACGTCGCCTGTAAACAGCTTATCTACTGAAACAGACCTCCGATTGAAACAGGAAGGATGTAATACTACAGACTCTGGGGTGATATCGAAGGTGGAAACGCGCTGGGAAATACGGCTCTACAAATGTCTCTATATTAACTATATATTAACTCTGAACGGCCCCTCGCTACGGCATGTTCAACCATCTCTGTTACTCTAATGCCATTAATACTTATGAACTTAAAATTCTTACTTGCAGAGCTGTTGAGCTGGATTTCGAATCGGCTTCCCTGACCTTGTGGAGACTACATACTTGGCATTTGTCAACCTGAAAAGGGTAAAAATGCCTGTCACGATCTTTCTCATATCTTACAGTTAGAAAGAACAGAATCTTATTTCAAATGAAAATAAGAAAACTATTACATTCACGTATGCATTCATACATACAAATATCAACTTTCCTTCCTTCCTTCCACCCATCCATCCTTCTATTCATCTATTCATAAGCATTCCATCCATCCACCCGTCTATTCATCAACTTTCCATCCATCCATCTACCTGTCTATTCATCAATTTTCCATCCATCCATCCTTCCATCTATCTATCCATCTATCCTTATATCTATTCATCCATCAAACTTCCATTCACCCATCCATCCATCCATCTACCATCCATCCTTCCATCTATTTACCTATCCACCCATCCTTCCATCCATCCATCCAACAACCTTCCATCCACCCATCCATCCATCAACATTCCATCATATCTATCTATTCAACCTTCCATCCATCCATCTATCCATCCATCCATCCATCCATCCACTCAACCATCTATCCATCCATTTTTAACAACCATCCACTAATTACAGTACTACAAATATATTAAGTTAGGAAGAATCAGAAAACCTTCAAACATTCATATGAACAAATTGGCCGTTTTTATAAAGAGGGAATAATGAAACATTTCGTTTTATGCTTCTAGTCGAAAAGAAGGATAAAAACAACTTACATTTTCTTGAGCATATTCACTCAGGTCAGTCCAGTAACAATTTTCCAAAAGCCGTCTCACGGTCTCAGCCTTTGCTGCATCAGAAAAAAATATATATATGAATAACCCATTTTTTAATATGTATATGAGAAACTGAACAGACTAGCCCAGATAAGGAAACACAATATGGGAGAAAAGAAAACAGGCTGAATCATAAGTAAATAAATCCATAAACTCATTTTCTTAATATTGATAACCAATTGACACCAGGATTGCATGTTCACAAGCTGTCTGGTACTATGTCTACCTGATCTTGCCTCTCTACCCCATACCTTGAACTTTCACAAAGAAAAGTTTTAATTTCATTACTATTATTACTGTTCATAATAATGATGATTATGATAATAATGAAAATGATAGCAATAATAATAATATTAATAATAATAATAATAATAATAATAATAATAATAATAATAATAATAATAATAATAATAATAATATTAATAATAATAATAATAATAATAATAATAATAATAATAAAATAATAATAAGCATATAATAATATAATAAGTATAATAACAACAGCAATAATTATGGTAACAACAGTATTAGAAAGGAATGGGCTAACATACATGGTCAAGTAGGCATAGTAATCAACTCCTTGGAGACTAAGTGCTTGTGACGAAACAAAGCCACACGGAAAGTGCATGTAGCTAACACTAATGGGTTACTTCCCTCTTATCCATATTAAATCTAGAAAAATAACATTTGATGGAAAGAGCTACCAAAAACTCACTAAAATGTTGGCCCGACTTTAGAATATGAGCTTCATTAAAAGCCTTGAGCTTTTCTTCCTCAGAAGCAGGAACAAATCTTCTTTCATAACCAGTCTTTCCTCGATAGTACATTAATCCATCTGACACAGAATAAAAAGATAAATATACATTAGACATATATAAAAGCTGGTTCATAAGATACCTTTGATTTTTTCATGCATTTCCAAAGGATTCTAAAAATTCCAGTAAAATTAAATATAACACAAATGTTTCTCATAGATTTCAAAGCAAGAGCATTTGTGCCACCTTCCATCATAAACTCCTTAGCAGATTTCCTTATACTCTTTTTTCTATGGAGGGGCACAGCACGAGCATGTGTTCCAGTCTCTAAATAATGTCGAATATGACTGAGGTGTTGGTACCCTCCTTCTCCCTTTGTAACCAACACACCTGCCTGAATTACAAGAACTCAACTTAGTTATTAGAGTATCAGAGGATCTTATAGTATAGTAACACTTGAAAGTATATTTACTTCATGTCTTGTGTACCTTTTATACAATTGTGCAAAGTACAATCCTTATAACAAAGAACAATAATACTGACCACAACATCAACAGTATGGAACTTGTGGCATTCAAGGTCTGGCATAAGAACATAATACTCTGTCTGAAAATTAACTGCCTCGATGTCTCCTCTCACTGCATCTATGATCCTCTTGCGATTTTTTTCTCTTTCAGCTGGTGTGTTATGTTGAATCTAAAAATCAATTAATTGTGAGCTTGCAACCAGTGGGCACTATTTAACAAATATGGAATGATCTGTGTATAACATTATTGTAAAAGAATATATATAAGAGAATATCTTTTCTATCTACACATATCATACTTGCCTTAAAACCTGGTAATCTAAGAATTCTCTTAATGTGTACCTTAGCAGGACACCCCATTTTCTTAGTGTCATACATTCTATTTCTTCTTTTTATAACAGCAATTTCTTCTTCCTGTGTGTGAAAAAGTTCCAATAATTCTGGCAAAACATTACCAAAATAACTTTCACAAAAATCCACCACTAATATATGATACCCTATACTGGTATAGATGCATCAAAAATATCCATTGCAGACCAGTTGAATGTACTATGATGAAGTTGGTAAGTGCTGTGCATTAAATGATTATATATGCCCAATTATAAATTCATACATTGTAGATTACAAACAAGAAATACTAATCGTCATCATACATCTAAGTCCAGGTCTCCCCTGTAACATGGGCTCTTGATTTTTGACCAATTACCTTGGTATACTAATTATCAAAGCTTAATCTTACTAAAAATACATTCATTCATTCATTCATTTACATAATCCAGCTTTCATTCAGGAGCATTAATAAGTGTGTAAAATATAGGTCTAATTAAACAAACAAAGATTCACTACCTCTATCCTATCCCTTCGTGCAGCATATCTCCTCTTGTTCCAAATTCCAGTATCCATTCCTAGGTGGCACTCCATGACATAAGTACCAGCCTCAATGAACGGAACACCTGTGTATTCTACGGGGACAGGATCATATCCCCGTCCCTTTGTACCTAAAGTGATGCAGTACCGGATGTGTTTTCTTCCCTCTCTCACAAATGCCTTTAGATCATGACCTATGAAAATACAATAACAATGATGAAGATAACAAAAATTGCTGTATAATACATGCATATGAATAGGAAGTATCTCACCAAATGACACCTTCAGGCACAAAGACAACTCTTCTCACCATCTTTATCAAAGACTCCTTCTTTTCGATGACCAATATAATGCATGCCAGTGGCTTTCTCTTCTTCTCTGATGTAGTGAAGAGCCTCTTGGAATGTATATAAAGTTTGCAAAGAACCTTTATCATGCTGCTTAGCTCTACAATTCAGGTGTTTCTTGTCCTCTGATTCATATAAAAGCTGCTTTTGTACTGAAAGCAGGTCATGCTGAAAACAGTTCTTACTGTCTTCCTCGGTGCTGGGTATCTCAACCTTGACCCTCATTCTATACTTTTCTTGCACAGCACTTCTCGCTAATGCATGCTTTCTGTGCCTTCCCCTGGTTGACTCTCTACTGTGGCCAGCTTTCTGTTCAGGAATAAATCATCTGTGCAGTCTTTATTCTCAGGCATGATTATCCTTAATCCTTAAGAAAAAGAGCTCAAAACTTGTAAAACAATAATAATCCTAGATGTAACAGTGAAATGAAAAACAGCTTCA